GAGAGAGACGGAGACATGAGTTGCGGAGGGGAGGAGATGAGAGGAGAGAAGAGACGAAATGAGAGCAGCGAGACAGAGAGAGAGCCGAGAGAGAGAGAGAGAGAGAGAGAGAGAGACGAGAGAGAGATGCACGAGAGAGAGAGAGAAGAGAGCGAGAGACGAGCAGAGAGTGAGACGAGAGAGAGAGCGAGAGATGAGAGAGCCCGAGAGCGCGAGAGCGAGAGAGAAGAAAGAGAGACGAGAGCGAGAGACGAGAGCAGAGAGGAGAGCAGCATGAGAGGGACGAGAGAGAGAGACAGTGTTCGCTGTGCAGTCGGCTTCCTCTCACTCTCTCACTCGTGTTTATTTGGACCCATTTCGATTTCGCCGAAAATGCGCGAACGGGCGGTTCGCCGCGCACGCTGCCAACCCCGGCCAATACAAACTCGAACATAAAAATGCAGCGAGACAAAACACGATGATACATGTGCCAGATATGTGCAGACAAATGAGTAGCGAGTACCCACCAGCTTCCCCAACAGGGTGCCAAGAAAAAAATCAGGGAGTCTGACGATCGCTGAGCGAAGCGAGGATGCTGCGGGCCGCGAAGACCTAAGGGGGAGAGGCCTTAACTATCTACAAATGGAGGACATTTAGTCTGAAACGCTAAAAAGACAGGAATCTGATATGATTTATTATTTTACTAATCCACTGTTGTACAAGATTATCAAGGCTGTGTATAAATATGTATCATATAAATTGCAGGCCGCCCTCCATGCCCGTTCTTCTATCAAATTTCATCCGTCTTATCCAAGAATAGGCCGTCCAAAAGACGGGCAGACGGGTCCCTCGTCCCGGAACCGCACTCCACATGGCAGGGACCGATGACAATTCAGACCGATCGTTCAATCTCGCGCTCGCCGACGAAAAAGGAATTACCAAACTGAAGCTTTTCAGTTTATTGTTGCTTACTGCGTGTGCGGCTTAAGCCGGCAGAATGCCACAACCTGCCGATTCCAAAGCGGAAGAGAGAGAGAGAGGGGGAGGAGAAGAGAGGAAGAGAGAGGAGAGAAGGCAGAGAGAGAGAGAGAGAGAGGAGAGATGGGAGAGAGAGAGTATGGAGAGGGAGAGAGAGAAGGAGATGAACGAGGAGATCGAGAGGGAGAGGAGAGGAGGGACGACGCGCCGACCGCGCGGAGGCCGCCAGTGCCGGCCGGGGGCCGCCTGCCGCCCGGCCGCCGGCCCGCGGGCCCCGCGCCACCGGCGCGCCGCCCCGGCGCGGCCGCCGCCACCCCGCGCGCGCCCCGCCCCCCGCGACAGAGAGAGAGAGAGAGAGAGAGAGAGAAGAGAGAGGAGAGAGAGAATAAGAGGAAGAGCGTGAGAGCGAGAGAGAGAGAGAGAGTGAGAGAGACGATATGAGAGGAGAGAGCGCTGAGGCCCCTCTGCTCGCGCGCCCCCGACTACCAGTGAGGGAGCGCGAGAGCGAGAAGAGAAGAGAGGGGGGAGAGAGAGAGGGAGAGAGAGAGATCAGCGAGAGAGACGAGAAGAGAGAGAGACGAAGGAGCCATAGAGAGATGGACTGAGAGCGAGAGAGAGATGAGAGAGAGACCGAAGATGCAGAGAGAGAGCGCCTGTGAGAGAGAGCAGAGAGAACAGAAGGGGAGAGAGACGAGAGAGAGAGAGGAGAGAGAAGGAGGAGAAGCGAGAGAGAAAGAGAGGGTCTCTCTCTCTCTCTCTCCCTCTCTCCCTCTCTCTCTCTCTCTCTTTAATCGGTGTAATTCACTTCTGCCCCTGTTTCCCTCCCAGCTTCCCCCAGCCTTCCCCGTGTTTATCATTCGTGCAATGACGTCACTGTTACAGGCTACACCGAGAACTTTCAAGGTTTGTTCGAGGGGACGACAAACAACATTGCCACGGTAACGCTCGGCTTCTACTCGGGGCTGTTTGCCTATAACGGATGGTAAGGCACTGTCCACGCGACCGTCGTCGAGGCGTGCGTGTAGCGCCCCCTGGGGGCCGACCCGTTGTCGCTGCGTGGGAAGCGCAGGGGGAGGAAGGCGGCACTTTGGAAAAACGAGACTGATTGATCGATCAGCCGAAAGTCGAAGATTTTTTCGAAAGTCGGGGATTTTTCCCCGCGCGACGCGAGCCGTCGTCTCTTCCCCCTCGCACGCTTGCGAGCGAGCATCGACTCCCGGGAGGAGTCCGCCGCGCGTCGCCGCGGCAACGCGTCGCACGTGCGGCCCGCCAACCTCGTATTTCGTTGTTGTTGTTGTTGTTTCTTTGCCGTTGATCGAACGTCGTTTGTCTTGCTCTCTTTCAGGAAACTTCGAGAACTTTCACTCGCCCTTCTCGAACACCACAACAGACGTGACGTCGATCGCGCTTGCCTTTTACTCGGGCCTGTTTGCCTACAACGGCTGGTATACCACCGCGATATGCTGTGTCTGTGTATTGGTGACGGCTACCACTGACTAACTAGCACCCCGTAGATCAGTCTGTCTGTGTGTGTGTGTGTGTGCGTGCGTGCGTGCGTGCGTGCGTGCGTGCGTGCGTGCGTGTGTGCGCGCGTGTCGTCGGGACTGGGAGCCGAGTGCCGGAATGGTGACCCCGGGGTGCGTTCCGAATTCCAAGGTCGAATTTGAACTCGAGGTCAAGGTCAAACCAGAACTCGGGGTCACTGCGAGGTCGTCATTCCGAGTTCTCCGCTTGCAGTGAGCTAACTACCCGGGTGGCGCCACTTGCACACTAACATTGGCGTGACGCAGCGACGGCTAGTTGTAGGAATCGTCGTCCGTCACGCGACACAGGTGTCGGTGTGACGTCCTGATGGGACTCGGCTCTCAAACGGTCTCATGGTAAAGCATGCGCCACGAAGAGAAACATGCGCTTACATGCATTTTTTCCACGTATAGTCAAAACTTGAAGTAAAAAATCCTGTGTTAGCGCACACCTATACAGGACCGGCATTTATCTATAGAGAACACTTTTAGTAGTTCCCTTCAATGGCAGATATACCGTGAAGCCATCTCTTGGTTGTCTATGAAGGACATTGGAATTGGAATTGGATTTTGGCATTTTCCTTGGATGAGAGTCATACAGTGGAACGACCTCTATCGAGCGGAAACCTCTCACCTGTTTTTAAAGAACGCATTTTCCTCGAGTGACTCAACAAACGTCGCGCATTCTGTTTTTAATTCCCCAGTCGGTTCCCGAACGGTAAATGATTTTTAAGTGCGCGCTGACATTTTCCGTGTTGTCGTGACGACGTGTGTAGCAGTGAGAGGGGAGGGGGTTATCCCTGCGTGGCCCACACACCCACACACTCTCTGATTGACGCCCTCCACTCCGGGGCGGTCGTGGGTTTTTAACGAAAACACGAGATTTCGTTCGTGTCGCGTCGGTCGTTTGTCCGCCATCTTTGCGTCGCGTTGCCGCATCGTGTCGCTGCGTCATGTTGAAAGCGGTGTCACGTTAGGTACTAGGCACGCTGGACAACTGTGCGTGCGTGCGTGCGTGCGTGCGTGCGAGCCTATGGTAGTGGTGGTGGTGGTGATGGTGATGGTGGTGGTGGTGGTGGTGGTGGTGGTGGCGCTAGCAGCTTGCGCATCAACTAACCCTGCACACTCTTCTCTTTCAGATAGTAATCACGTTGCCACAGTCTCGCTGCTGTCGTCGTAGAAACCGCATTTTTGATGAAGCAGACTAACAATTAACTAACCATTAACGCCGGTTAATTAGCCGATAGTGCCGCTCTGGCGGATGCGCTAACGATAGCTTGCGAGCCGTAGTTGGTGGTGTGGGCTCGGGTGTAGTCTAGTGGTACATGTAGTTTACGTTTAGTGATTGAATTCCTAGCTTTGTTGACTTGTAGCTAATTATTGTGTCTTTGTTGTCTCTGTGGGCGTGTGCGATGCTAATCTAAAAGTGTTTCCAATATCCCCGACCCCGAGTTGTTTTTTACAACATTGCAATGCATAATTTAGAGGGATTTTTTATTGTGTTGATATAGTGTCACTTATTATTAATTGGATGGAAATGTGATGCGTCTCTCTCCCTCTCTCTCTCTCTCTCTCTCTCCCTCTCTCTCCCTCTCTCTCCCTCTCTCTCCCTCTATCTCTCGCTCTCTCGCTCTCTCTCTCTCTCTCTCTCTCTATCT